CCCCCCCCCCCCCCCCCCGCCTTTCTTCCACTCTCACTCTCTCTCAAAAATAAATACATATTAAAAAGTAAACAAATAAAAAACCCAAGGCTATTTAGAAAAGCAAAGGAGATAAGGTGTGAAAGGTGGATTTACCCAGACAAAACACTTAGGTTTGCAGAATCGCCAAAGAGTTTGTTCACTGGAGTCCTAGGGAGATCTGGACAGGTGGTAAAGGAAGTGTCTCTCTCCAGGAGCAGGTTTAATATCTTCCTCTGACTGGATCTAAAACTGGGTCCTGAGCCAGTGTGTCCCTCCTCTCCTGCGGATGAAATCAATTCTGCCGACATGGCTTCCTAAGAAAAAAAAAATAAAACCTACCTAAGAGGTGAACATCATCTACATAGGTACCTCACAGACTGTCCAGTTTTCACAACTTCCTCCACCTTTCCCAGCAGCAGCCCAGTGGCTCACTACTGGAAGAAAGGCATCCCCAGGATCACAACTTGGCATGCAAGTTGAATGTCACTTGCCCCAAGCAGCTTGACCTTTTCCTTGGAGCCGAACTTAGCCAGAGGCAAACGTGGGACTTTTTGTTTTTTAAGTAAGCTGTACACTCAAAGGGGGCATGAACTCCGGAACCCAGGAACAGTCCCACATTCCGCTGACTAAGCCAGTCAGGCAACCCAAAACCAGGACTTTAAAGAAAGAATGAGGGGCGCCTGCATGGCTCAGTCTGTTAAGCACAGGGCTCTTGATTTCAGCTCAAGCCATGATATCTTATTATCTCATGATCTCACCGGGGTGGGATCAAGCCCCTCCAGGGCTCTGCCTTAGACCTGGATCCTGCTTAAGATTCTCCAACTCCCTCTGCCCTTCCCCCATCTCCCCCCACTCGCCAGCTCTCGAAGGAAAAAAGAGAGGAAGGGAGGAGAGAGAGAAAAAAGAAAGAGAAAGAAAAAAAAAAAAGGCTTTCACTTATTCAAGAGCTACACAGCTAGTGACTACTGACATGAAGAAATTGAGGTCTCCTAACTCGCGATAATGCCTATTAAGTCCACTGAAGTTCTGTTCGTGGGGCCCCCAATGGACCCTGGGGGACGCTGAGGTTTCCGTGATTCCGGTGGAGAGAGTCCCCGGCTTACCTCAAGTTGGAGCCAGAGATTCACCTTCAGGAGAAACAAAGGTGAGGAGTAAGTCACAAGCGAAGACTTGAGCAGGATTAAAGGAAATCTAAGAAAGAAGCCAATTAACCAGACTACGATTCCTCTTCTAGACTGGACAGACCGAGAGGACCGAATTAGCCACTGTGAGTCACAGAATATCAACAGTCACAGATCCTGGCTTTTCAAACCTTCCGCTTCGCCAATAAACCTATCCCGTTCACCTCAAGGTTGCGTCAGCCAATCTGCGCGCGCCCGCCCAGATCCCTTTGGCCAATCGTTTGGCTCTACATCTGCAGGCGTGAGCTTGCTTTGGAAGGAACACAATTTTCCCGGCCCCCCAGCCAGAGCAGGGTACCGATTGGCCGGCCAGGATTCAGTAAGCCTTAGGTAAGCCCCGCCCCCCCGGTGCCTGGCACACCATTGGCTCTTCCTCTGGCCAATCGCCACACCCTTCCTGAGCGCTCCATTCCCTTAGCCCCTCCAACCCCGGGAGATTTAAACTGTACCTCGTTAGCGATTACCTCTCTTTAAGATAATACCTGGAGAGAGTTGTTTGGGTGACAGGGTGTTTTAAACTTTTTCTCTTCTTTTGCTTCTTTCTTGTGTCGTTACTTGGGCTTTTTCATCTTCGTTTTGCTTGCCTTCCGTTGGAGATGAAGCATTTGCCGCTGGTATGGCAGATGTTGAGAGACAGGTGTGTATATTTATGCTGAGCAGCATTGGCCCCTTCCAAAAGCTTTCACTGTTTAGTGTTCCTTTTGGAGCTCAGTGTCTGTGAGACTCTAAGTTATGTAGGTTAAAGGAAATTCCTTTTCAGGGAAAGCAGGGGAATTGAATCATCTCTTGGTATAATCCTTATCACAGTCCAAAGGATCCCAAGCTTTGGTCGTTTATGGAAATTTGAACACTGATGAGGTGATATTAAGAATTTATTCCTACTGTTGGGGATTTGAATAATTCTGTGGGAGTGGTGGGTATAGATGGTGGGTGGTGGGTTTAGATGAAACAAGATGTGCTATGAATATTAGGTAATGAGTAACTGGGGGTGCGTTATATCACTACTGTCACAATTTAATCATCTGAGGATCTTGTTAAAATGCAAGTTCTGATTCAGTAGTTATGGGTTGCGGCCCAAGATTCTGCATTTCTAACAAGCCCCCAGCTGATGCTGATGCAGCTGGTCCTAGGACCATACTTTGAGTAGCAAAACATTATGGTATGCTTTTCTATGTATTTTTGAAATTTTCCACAATAAAAAATGTTCAAAATAACTTGGAAGCTCTTTAAATGCAGGTTTTAATGTTGATTCAGTAAGTAGAGAGTGGGCCCAGGAATTATCAAGGGGCTACTCATGCTGATGGTTTGCAAATCAGTCTGAGAAACAAATCAGCAATCCAACTGTTTGAGAAACAGTTCACCCAGAATACAACCTATTCTGGTGTCCACATCTTGGTGGTGGTAATTGCTAAGAAGTACAGCATAGTCTGCTCAGTTTTATCCTATCTGCTTCCCCAGAAAGGAGGTATGTGAAGAGTCTTTGTTCTCTGGGATTGAGATGGTGAGTGTGGGAGTCAGCACAGAGCCCTGCCATGCTAGGTGAGTTTGAAAACCAGACTAGGGGTTAAGGGAGCGTGTGTGGGAGGAGTTGTTTTCTACTTTGATAACCATAATCACACTTCATGGGGCCACTGTATACTTCCCCCGCAGGTGGGAAGTAGAGACAGATGAAATTGTTCTACAGTGGCGTCAAAAACAGATAGATTATGGCAAGCGCACACCTGGTTACCAGCGTTTCCTGCAGGAGGTCCCCAAGTGAGTGCGGTTGTGGGGGGGTGCGTCACAACAAGAGGGTCAGCTAAGTGGGTTTGGTTCAATGTAGGGTGATGGAAAGATATTAGGATCTGAGTATTCTCACAAAGTTGCATCATTACTAAAACTAAGTCTCCTGCAGTGTTGACCCCTAAGTAAATTTTTTTTTTCAAATGGAACAAATCCTACTTGACCCATGAGACTTTCAAAAGCTCTGTCCATGTTTGCTAATGAAGTTTTTTCTCTGTAACCATTTTTACCTCATACCTCCAGCTGACTTCACTAATTACAACACACTTGCCTAATTACATGGAAGTTTCCATCCATAAATGCAAAGTAAATGTATAAAGAGGCAGTATGTATTTTAAAAGGATGTCAGATACTGTCTTTTATATCTATCTTGACACCTGAATTGGAGTTGGAATATCTAAATTACCCTTGCCAGAAGAATATTAGGAATTTAGGAAGTTTAGTGCTTACTCCCAACTGAAGATTAATGTTTTTCTCTTGAATTGAGGGCATTGATCCTACCTCACTCTTAGGAAATCCCTAATGAGTCTCCTGATTCATGTGATAAACTGAGCTGTGCCCCTTCACCTTGACCTGAGTTTGATACATATCTGTCATTGCCAGGGCAAAGCGACAGCCAGGACTTCACCCTCAAACACCAAACAAGAACAGGAGGTACAGCCGTCGCTCCTGGGATGCCCAGATTAGGCAGTGGAGAAGAGCCCTACATTCTTGGGACCCCCCCCTCCGCCAAGCCATCCCCTGCAGGGCAGGGGGGCTGAGGGGTATGTACATTATTCTTGGTTTCTTGTCTGAGTGGTGGACTGAGCCCCACCTCTCCTCACTTTCCAGGGGCTTAGCTTTTAATGGCTGAAAAGGGGGAGTCTGAATGAGGTGCATGTTCCTCTGACTCTCCTGCATTTCTAGGCAGGGAATGGAGCATTTCTTAGAGCCAATGGGTTCAACCCCTTTGGATGACTTTTTGGATGATTGGTTCCAAGCCCTGGAACCCTCAGCAAATCTGGATGGAGACCAGAAGGGAGCCCAGGTAGTATCCTCTTCTAAAGCCCACTGGTGCAAGGTTAGAGATGTGGTCTGACCCATGAGGGAACAATTAGGATGGGGTTCAAGGTAGTAATCCAAGAACAAAAGAAGGAAAATGGGGCAGCAGGAAAAAATAGGACATAAATTAAAAATTCTGAGAAGTAAAGGTGGCATAAGGAGATTTAATTACGGTTAGTAATGGCAGGGAAGTTGGCTGCACTGGGGGCTACCTTATACTTAAAGAAAGGGGTAAACTCTTCCTTGGAATTGAGGCCTGAAACCTGATGTAGAAGATTTGGGTTTTGTTTTTTTTAAGCGTCTCATTTTATTAAAATGTTTTGCATATGACCCAATGCTAACTTCTTATTCTCAATCATTTAACTTTATTGAAGTATGGATAATAATAAAAAGGATCATCATCAAGTGGTGAAGACCAAAAGCTTTAGAGCATCAAGGACAGCTCTGTAATATTACCTTTGCCTACCATATGGGCATTCACTTAATCTTTCCAACCATTTCATCTGTCAAATAGGGCCATTTTCTCATTTGATGATTCTAAGCAAAAATGAGAATACATTTTTAAAGTATGTAGCATAGTTCCCAGCACATAATAAGTGCTCCATCATAGCAATTACTGGAGACCATGTCTCCTATACTTCATGGCATTGTTCCCTCTTTTGCCAAGCGGAAATGTGAACGGCAAGAGTGCATCTTCCCTCCAGCCCTATTTTCTTGATAAATCTCACTCCCCCCCCCCCTTCTTTTTCAGTTTGCAGACTTGGTGGCTCTTGCCTACTCCCTTTCCTCTGTGAGGAAGATCCCCACTACTGGTTCTACTTTGCAGCTGATCACTTACGTATCTGTCCTAGACTTGAGTGGGGCACAAAGTATTTAGAGAAAACAGCCATCTTTCAAGGGATTTGTTGCTAAGTGTAATAGTGAAGATTATTTGCATTAGTGCTATTTCCCAATCGATTAAAAAAGAAATCTACAACTGTACAAAAAAGATGGCAACACAAAGGCATTGTTTAAAACCTCTTTTTCTTTTTGCCTTTTTTTCTAAACCTTTTTTGATAGCTGAGACTCAAATTTGCATAAGAGTCAGGAACCATTTAGCTGTTCCCCAACCTTTCCCCTAACGTCTACATTCAGTCTTTTCAAAACAAGACTTAAACTTTGAGGTGGGAGGTGGTGGTAGTGGTGGAGATTTAATAAAGGGTGGTATCCTCTTCCTAAAGAGGAAATAAACGGACATGAACATCTTTTCTCCAGCTGCCTGTTTCCTCCCTCCCTCTCTGTCTTAAGAAAAGTGGTCCAGCTGTAACCACCATACTGCCCCTTCCCCCCCCCCCCCGCAACCCACCCCCGCAAGCAACTGAACCGCCTATGATGTCATAATCACAACCCCATTACCTCATCCTGCTGGGGGGTGGGGGTGCGTAGAGGAAGGAAGAGTAGTGGACAGCCCTGGGCCGTCCTCAGCTTTACAAAGTGTTTTGGGTGAGGGCTAATTACAAAACCAATTTGGAACGACCCCGCAACCGCTACAAGTCCCGGGTTTATACGGTTCGAGGCGATCCGGCAGCTTGAAGAGGGGCTCCTGGGACTCAGAGCAGGCCCTAATCGGCTCTTGGACTACATTTCCCAGAAGCCTTCACGCCGCGGACGGGTCCTCTGCTGGCGGAAGGGGGATTCCTTCTGCGAGGCAGCCCTAGACGGCGGGACAGGAGAGCAGGTAAGACGATCTTCGGCTAATTCTGTTACGAGGCCCAAACGGAGTAGGGCGCTGTACTTAAGCCAATGTTGGAATGAAGGGTAAGGGAGATGGCTTTGTTTACCTTCGTCCGACACGGCCTCCCCCGCGGGTTTCGAGATGTGCCGCCAACTGGGCCCGTCCACCTTCTGCAATGTTTTGGAGGGGGTGACTCAATAGTGAGGAAACCACCTTCATCCGTAAATCAAAGAGCCTGGCTTACTCACGACAGTACTTTCCAAAATAGACTTTGGGAGGGAAACGACGCGAGGCTCGAGCCTCCGCGGGCGGTTTAGGAGGATTCCGCGAACCAGAGCGATCCCCATAGTCTCCTTAGGGGTCCGTTGGTTCGCGCCGGCGCCTTTTAAGGGCACCGTGGGGCGAACGGAGCGCTCAGAGCTGCTCCGGCCGCGGCCCTGGGAGCTGGAGGAGCCGCGGTAGGTGGCGAGGGCAGGTGGCGCTGGGGCCTCGGGGCGGGCACCTCGGCCGTCCCTCCCTCCTTCCCTCTTTCCCTTCCCCCAGCCCGGCCGCGCGCGCTGTACGGCCTCTCTGGACGCCTCCGCTGGGAGAGCACGGGACCCGGTGGGGGAGGGGTTGGCGGAGTGCTAAGTCCCAGACCCTCTCCATCCCCAGCGTCCTGAGTTCGCTTCCCGCGGCCAGATGATGGAAGCTGATACGGGAAGAGCCGAACGACAACCCCGTAGAGCGAGCCCTGGTGCCCCCCTAGGGGCTAGCGGACGCCCCATGCCCCACCCCGCAGGGACAGGCAGGGCAACCGAGAGAGTGGTTGAAGATTGGAGGGGGGCCTAGCCTTTTGCTTCTTCATCGGGGTGGGGGGAGGGGTGCTCCCCACTTGTCACCCTTATCCCCGACAGAGCCATATGGAGGAAGGAGCAGTCAGGTTACCACTTACATGTTCATGTACCTCCCTGCCTCATGTTTTTCTTCAGTCTCCCCCAGAGGTGTGGGGCTGGGATCTGGGGGGAAGGTCCCTAGGGGATTTGTGACTCTCTTACCCCTTGGCCTGACTAGATCCTAGGTTCTTCAGTTTTCATCACAACCTCAGCATCCTTGAAACCCTAATGTCAGGGGTTATTGCCATCCAATAAGAGATGGGATGGGGGTCCAGTCTTTATGTTAGGGGGCTGATGGTGGAAGGAAAGCTTGGACTGAGAGTTGGGCCTGGTGGGGTTGTGGGGAGGGCCTAGCCGCCTGCTGCTCTGTGAAGGGCTGAACCTTGTGCCAGTTGTTAAGCTGAGAAGTTTTAACTTGTTTAGTGAACGTTCAGGGCTGTCTTTGCTCCTCAGATAAACAAAATGGAAGGGGAAGGAAGGCGGCAAGAGAGGGTTTCTTACACTTTTTTCTATGCCTGCTTGAGAAAGAGGAGGCCCCTCGCGGAGCTGGTTTGCCTTCTTTTGTGTCCTGGTTTGATTCCTTATGGCTTCCGTTCTGTTCCCCCTCTCAGCCTGGCCTGTTTTAGGAAACTCAGGCTGAGAGTATCAGTTGCGTGGTGGTAGTTGCATTGTTCCAATTACCGCCGTGTGTGGCCACATCCCAACAATTAAAATGCAGAAAAACACAAAATCACTCTCTTCACTTGATCCCAGAGAGGGCTGGGAGTTTGCTGTTTGGCCAAATGCCTCATGAAAAGCTTGAAAGAGTTTACTTCACTCCCTGCTCTTCATGGCTGGTCAGCCCGAGGCCTGTGATCCTGGGGTAAAAGCCTTCAGTTAGGTTCCCTCTCTAGTTGATCTTTTGGGGGCAGAGTTAAGAAACCAAGAGCAGAAGTGATATAAGCTTTAGCTTTTCCCACAAGAACATAGGGGAAGCTGCTGAAGGGAGCTCTCGGGAAACTGGAACTTCGTTCAGGGTGGTAATAATTACGCGTGAAAATGATAGTTAACTGTAACGATAATTGACTTCTCCCAGACCTTTCTTCCAAAAAACTTCACGCACATCCACATGTAGTTCTTTGCTCTTCCTTACCTCCCTCCCTGTGAGGTGGGGATGGGGTCGAGATGATTCTCTCTTTTTTTGCAAAAGTAAAAAGTGATCTGCCTCCAAGGTCACAGAAGAGCTGTTTTGGGCTTCCTTAGGTGTGCAGATGAGGAAGGTTGGCGTCCAGCCAAATAGATAAACCCAATTGCCTTCTTCAGCTTAATGATATCATCACTTGTGGCATTTTTAGGCTGTGTAGAGCAACAAACAAGAGGATTGAGAAACAGCCATCTTTGTGGAGTCCTGATTTGTATAGGCTAGATGGTTTGCTCTTTACATTTTGATAGTTCATGTTATATTATACCTGTAACAGGTTAAGACATATTTATTGTGCCCATTTTACATACAGGTTAACTAAGGTGAAGAAAAGTCAAGTAATTTCCCAGAACTGTCACAGCAAATTGGAGCAAGATTTAGATTTCTTGAATGTTTGTTCTATCTAGTAGAGAATGCTATATACACCCTCTGATGAGCTGTCTGCCTGCTGGTCATTTCTGGGAATAGGCAGAACCATATGGAAATACTAGGTTAAGCTCCTCTCCTCCATTGAGCAAGGCCCCTCAGGCAACTGTGTGGGCTTGAAGCCTGTTCTCTGATAGATTTAGTTTGCTTCTACTGAAATTGTCCATGAGAAGGAGTCTTGATTAATTGTATCCACGGTCTTTGAGTCAGATCAGGCTAAAAACTTAGTTGAATGAAGTCATATAGTTGTCGTTCTTAACATCTATAGAGTTGAAATGTAATTGGAATAATCCTGGTATCATTTCTCTCTCTTCTTAGCATTTTATAAGAGAATATATACAGTATCTGTTAGAAAACAATATAACATATCAAATATTCAGCCTAAGGGAGAACATGAAACTTTGTTCACTCTCATTGATCTAAAGGGAAAAGTCTTTCCTACAACCAGTGCTCCTCCCTGTTTCCTGTTACTATTTGTGTAGTTTAGGAAAAGTGTATCTTTCTGTTTCTGATTAGAAGATAAAAGAAAATATTGGGGTAATCAGGATGGAAGTAACCGTTTGGGGGTTCCTCTCTGACTTGAGCTGTTTTTCAGTGATGCTGGTACTCTGTGTAGACACAGCAGAGCATGAACCAGGTTAGGAGTGGCAAATAGGTTCAACTTGCTTTTTAACTCCAGTTCATTTCACTGGTTAACTGGAGTGCCAAGTTCAGAATGTTTCTGAGGCTGTGTTGAGGCTTAGCAGGAAAGAGCTGTGATCAATTAATGATGTCTGCCAGAGGCCTGGCATAGGGATGCTGTGGTATGTGTGCCATGCATTTTCCACTTTTGGGCCAGGTACATCTCTAATATCACTTGGGGCTGGTCCCTCTGTAATTGGCAGACTCAGCAGGCATGACTGGAGAGGGGAGTCCCAATGGTGCTAGAATGGTGCTGCAGTGGCAGAAGACGGCTCACGAGTGAGGTCTGGAAGAACGACAGGGAAGACATCCATCATTTGCTCCAAAGTGTGCAAGTCAAATCCTGGGGAGAATCATGATAACCCTGATCACTGAGCAGCTACAGAAGCAGACTCTGGATGAGCTGAAATGCACACGCTTCAGCATCAGTCTGGTAAAAGACCAGTCTTCCTGCTTCTCTACGATCCCCTCCCCCTTTTTTCTGAGGCTGTTTGTTGCTACTACTTTACCCATGTCCTTTGCCGTATGAGTCATGGTACTTGTACTGGAAGAGCCTACTAAAGGCTCAAAACCCAGCCCAAAAGGAAGGGGGCAGGTATTTTTCCACTGATAGAGAAGGGACACCAAAACTTGGGAGGAGAAGGGTATGAGATGTTGGAAGATGTGGATTATTTTACTCACTAACTTTGGGAAGATGAGAAGAAGAAAACATTTAGAAGTCCCTAATATTTCTATAGCCCATGAAATACAGGGGTGAGCTGAAGAGGGCTTCCTGGAAATCTGCATCCTAAGCCAGAATCATCATGGATATTCTCTCTCTTTTAGCCTTTGCCTGATCATGCAGACATCTCCAACTGTGGGAACCCTTTCCAGCTTGTGTCTGGTAAGGCATTGTGTGTGTGTGCATCTGTACCTTTCTTTCATCGGTTTCCAGTGACCAGGGCTAGATAGCCTGTCTCCACAACTTTCTTGCCAGGGTGACCTGCCGAGATTGACACTTGTCTCCATTTTACTGCACCAGCGCGGAAGTTATTTGTTTAGTTTGCCCTTATTCTAGCCTTGACAGGACTTTTATAATCTGATTTTTTAAAATAGGTAATATATTCATGTGGTTCAAAAATTTTAAAGGGGCACCTTGGTGGCTCAGTTGGTTAAGCGTCCCACTCTTGATCAGGTCATGATCTCAGGGTCATGCCCCTCATTGGAGCTCGCTTAAGATCCTCTTTTTCTGTCTCCCTCTGCCCCTCCCCGACTCACACTCTCAAAAAAAATTTTTAATATTTTTAAAATCTTTATTTTTGAGAAAGAGACAGAGTGCGAGCAGGGGAGGAACAGAGATAGAGGGAGACACAGAATCCTAAGCAGGCTCCAGGCTCTGAGCTGTCAGCACA